TTCCAGTATCCAAGATCAGCTATTCAGCCCACATGCAAGTAATTAAAAAGTCACTATGTTTCTCATAATTTCTTCAGGGTCATGCCATTAACATAACAATCTTACATGGAAAACTTAAAATTATTATGTTCACCTTATTTCACATTACTGAAGCATTACACAAAAATCTCCCAATCAACTGAGTTACATTTGTCTTTTATCTCTTTTAGTTTCAATATCACCCGCAAGATGGGAAGTTGTAGTAAACAACACTGGGAAGCAATAATATCGGACCAAAGACGAAACAAATTAAATGAATAGTGAGGACCACTAATGCAGAAGAAACTTATTTCAAAACTATTTCTCAAAATAAAGAAAATGAGCGTTCAAGCTCTCACGAACATGAATATGCATAAGGGTCAGGATTACAAGACTTGCTAACTGCGTACCCAATAATCCGAGTAGAACCTGTTGCATGGTATTGACGTGCCACGATGCCTTTTTGTAGGTTATAGATCATAAGAGGAAGTTGCTGAAGCTTGGCTGAAGCCTAATGAAATAAAGTCCTGACATTATTCAAGAATCTCCACAGATGCGTCATGTCCGGTGGGTGTAGCCATTTGGATGGCTGAGAAGCATGTCGGAACGTGCATGCGAACTTAAACCGACTTACCTTGGATGTACTCTAGATGGATTTCTTGGTAGTCTCTTTACCTGGATAGGGGTGAGTTTAATTGCGTTCATCCAGTCAGCGGATCAAAAGCAAATCACACTAGACAGGGGGGAATAACCCGTGAAGGGCGCATCGAGCCTTGGCAGGCATTATTAGGACGATATATGTGTCCTCTGCTTCTTCTAATAATGCATCTTGATACCTCAGAGCCAAGTAATGGTGGTATTGTGTGTGAGCATTGATATGGTGATCAGAATGTCGTTCGTACGACTGTCTGGTATGTACTCTACCTAGCCGCCGAGGGACGTAATATTTTACTGGTGCATTTAGGGTTAATGTCGTCATATAATTGTTTTGATCGTGTGACGAAACGCCCAAACTCGGTTTATAGCGGGTTCTCGTAGTGTCCAAGCTGATCATTTCGATCCGCCTCGCTCCGGTAATATGGTTTCGACTATGTGCGGAACAGGTCAGCTCACGCTTGTACTTTACATCATATGCAACTGTCGTCGCGCAACGACAAGGGAAGACGCTCAGGGACATTGGCATATCGGAATGCTATTTTTTGAGACGGGTTATCCAATGATTTACAGATGTGGAAAGTCTAGATGACCTGTCTTGGAAAGCAAAGAGATGAGAGAGACTGTAAGATTAACATACTCTGTAGTCTTTCTTACGAAATCCAGGTGGATAGCACACTTTAGGACTTTTCAAAACAGGTGGACTATATATATTTAATTTGATTTTCTGCGGTGCTGGAGAAGCGTCTTTCTGCTTAGTCATCTGTGTGTTACGTTTATGACATCTCTCGGGGGTCCGAGTGGGGTAATGCGATAAATTATGGTATGGGAAGGAGGTAGCTCTTGTTACATGTGTCGCTGTAGAGTTATGGGTAGGTGTATTACTTTGGCATTGCTATTCCTACAGAGTAATGCTGGTGAAGCTTCTTTGTGAGGTAGCCGCCTATTTAAGCGAGCATGGTCTATACTTGCATGTTCCGGGTTGTGTGTGTTTTTTGCAGGAATATTCAACTGGTTTAACACAGCTGGGGAGGCTGTGGTCCACCAGTTGCTCCTCAAGGGATAAACTTGACGTGGATTTCCAGACTACCCGGCTGTCTGTATTTATTGTTACTCATTCAGCTTTACTTCATTTTGTTTCGCAGAGATCATATACTATTGGTCTGAACCGCCATATTGCAGCTAATATATCTTCCAGCTTGGTTTCGCCCAGGCGCATCACAATCCTCAGACGTTGAGGCTTCTAATCGGATTCATTTGGGTGCAGAAAAGTCTGTCTATTTATGGCATACTGTTTCACATGAGGCACTTCATCTGACCCACGGAAGATATTGAGGTAATGAAGGCTCTCATGTTCCCCTGTACCTCCACATGCCCGAAGTTTGTGGGCTCATTTTCTGGGCTCGTGCAGGTGCGATATATTATAAAAATTTACTTCCCCGAATTTTGCCAGA